GGGATTTATACTGTCGGTTATTGCCTCTATCGCAGGACACGCAGATAGATCTTAAAAAAAAAAACTTGTTTTTCCAATAACTCCAATTCTGCTATCATAAAGTAACGCGAACCATCGATCATGAGCTGTCATGTCCTCATCAGGAAGAAGTGGATACGAAAACAGTATATCTTGCATGTCAGCTTAAAGATTACACTGCTATAATCAGGACCTCTGATAGAGATATTCTCGTTATAATGTTGGCGCATATGGAAAATCTGCAAGGATCAGTGAAAATATGGATGGACCTCGGAGTAGGTAATGCACGCCGATATATCAACGTTTCCGCTCTCTCCATTAAGCTAGGCTCAACAGTTTCGCAAGCGCTACCAGCTTTCCATGCATTAACGGGATGTAATTTCAACCCGAGGCAAAAAAGACCACCACCAATTTTCTTGCAGTCAGAAATTTTTCAAAATGCAGATTTGGGATTAGAGGTTTATAGTATAGACGAAGGTTTTGATACAATGCAATCTTTTATTTGCCAATTGTACGGCTTAAAAAAAACAGCTGATGTCAACCGAGCTAGAGTAGAAATCTACAATAAAACGTACAAAGGTATCTGATATATCCCAGCCCTTCTCTTTGAACTACTTAATTATGATGCCTGTAACTTGTCACCGTGCCAATCGGAGTTACTGCAGCACTTATTAAGAACGAGATATACAGCATGTTTGTGGACGAATGCATACAAGTCAAGCATCGTCAACATGTCACCAAAAGATTATGGATGAAAAGACTCAAATGGAAAATTGGAGATGATCTGGTTCGTTGGTGATCAATTACCAGAAGCTTATGAAGATGTTGTCATAGCCAGAGTTGGGCATTATAATAATAATAATAATATCCCAACGGTTTTTACCCTCCATTCCCGCCCATCCGCACGGGAGCGCAGTCCGCATGACGTACGGAACCAATATTTTAAATTTTTGCGCCGAGTCACGATAGGCAGGAGTTTGTTAAGTGTCGAGATCTAAAACTGTTCAGCTACAGAACTAAATTCATCAGCTGATTTTATGTATTTATGTCAATAATTCACTTATTGAGAGAGGAGAGTATCGCTTTCTTAATGCTGAAAAGCGGATCTGATATATCAAACGTGCTGGAATGAGAGTTAAAATCCTGGCATAAGCAACGGAGTGGGTCGTGCAATTCAAAATTGGTTTTACAAGCTTTCAGAAATATGGGAAAAAAGTGTCTTGATACGCGTGAGGGAACATTAAAGCTTACATCAGCCAGAAGAGACGGACTTGAAATTGAGCCTGTCAGTAATTTAACCATAAAAATTATACCAAGCATTTCCCTGCGACTGGCAAGTGTAGGAAGGTTAATAAGTTTTAAGCGACTCGTATAAGGTGGAAGACTATATTGAGAATCCCATCGGAAATTTCTTAAAGCAAAAAGTAGGAATTGTTTTTGAATTGATTCTATCTTG